TCTCCCGTGCCTTGTCCTGGCTGTGTCGGTTGTTGCCTGTTGCTTCCAGGTGGATCCTAAAATGTGGCGTTTCATTGCGTCCAGACATCTTTATTTGGTTTATATGCCGTAACCTCGGTGTTTCTCTCAGGTTTTTTTCCGTCCTTTTGGCGAGGACATGTTTGTTTCGCTTAAAACATCCCCAGAAGATAATTTTTAAGGGCTGATTGTGTCAGTTAAGAATGAAAATTAAGTATAAACAAACGGACGGTGCTAAGTTTGTTTAAAAACATGCATCGGCAAAAATTAAGTGAAAATTGAACAGTTAGGAGGAGACTTTGTGGTTTTCATCTGTGTAGTTTTGCCTGTTCCAGGCATTTCGGGGGAGAGGAGGAGGAGGAAAAATACTCAGGAGAGGTCTGGAGAGAGGGAAAAGACCACGTTAATTTCTTAAATACAAGTTGGAAATCAAGTACTCCTTACCTGTATTGTTATGCAGCTATAGCTTGATCTATATTCCCAATGTTATTCTACTTTCAGGTTCTGTTAAAGCACAACTTGATGGGATTTTCTGAGATTTGTGGTTACTTTATTAGAAAACGTGTAACTGCGTGGACTTCCCCATTGCTGATTAAATTACAGAAACACTATATTCTTTTTAAAGGCCTCTACTTAACATTAAAAGGTCAAGGACTGAGCAAACTCAGTTTTGTGTACACAGTAAACAAATTAACAAATGGAGCTTGGCATAGGGGTTTCCTTTCATTTTCCAAATCCAAGTGCAGACAGCTTTTAGTAGCATGCGCCGAGTGTAACTCTCCTTTTTTCGGTTCTTTCACAACATATTTTTAAAGTGCTATGTTTGTCTGGTAAGCATAGCTGTTTCTGTTTGAATCCTAATGAGAGGGGAACTCCAGAAGTACACAGAGCATCCTCTTCAGAGTTTGTTTAGCCTCTGGCTGCGCTGCCTTTATCCCAGCCTCCAGTCCTGCATGTCCCGCTCCCCCGTGCAGCCAGCGCGTAGATGTGCCTGATGCTGATGGAGCGTCAGCCACCGAGTGGGGATGAACCACCCGTTCATAGTTAATTCATTCCAGCGACATTCTTGTGATGGGCTAGCTAAGGCAGTGTCAGCATTTCTTTTATAAACCATGGTTTCCCAGGACCTGCGGCATGTTTCTGGGGTTGGAGAATTTGCTTATTACAAGAACCTAAAATTAGAGTTTTGTCATCTGAGCAGACAGTTCAAATTAAGATTAAAAGCAAAATTATGTTAGCAGTAACTAAGAATCTGTTAAGGATTGTTAACAAAGATTGCATTAGCTTAACTCTTGTGTTCTGTCTGATTCCTGGTTTTGCATACAATGTCTAATGATTCACTCAGCTTCCTGAGATCTGCACTTCTCCGCTCTTGAAAAGAGGAGGGAGGGTGAAATTTGAGGCAGCATTATCCAACTAAATATATTTTTTTCTGGCTCTTGAGGTTAGTGGGAACATCTGTGGCTGTCAGTGTGTTCCAAAATGAACAGAAAAGTTGGTATTGTAGTTACTATTTTTTTAGTCATCCTAAGTCTTTATTTTCACATGCAGTATTCCACTGTCTTTTGCTTCATTTTGAGTGCAAAATACTTCTCATTGCATTTGAGAGTGTGTGTTGCACAGGGAAGGTGTGTAAAGATCAAACATGATTATGCAGATTAATCATGTGATATGTGAGAAGAAAAAGGTTGC